AAGGCCAGTCAGTCTTTATATGGGGCAAATTAGTCTGGGAAGGCCTCTGCATATTTATGACTCTTGACTTAATGGCAACACTCAGAGAATCTCTAGCAAAAGGAACTTTATGACACATGAGTCAGAATGTGAGAGACAGTTCAGTGGATTATAACCCTGATTGAAATCTTTTGTTAGTTATCCAGTTGTTCTGTCTTCATTTATAGAGAGTTGTTTATTAATGAACTTGCCTCCACTAATGGGAATATCAAAGGGAATATTTCAGACTCAGTAACCGTCACAGAGGCGGAGGTTGCAGTTGTGGTTTGTGGGCACTGCTGGTGAAACAAAATGGTTGCTTATCTGCTCAGAACTGGGCTGGGCATTAGACTTGCCACAGTGACTGGCAATTTTCAATACAGCCTCCAATACAATTTCCTCATTTATTAGAACTTGGAACTAGTCACATGGAATCCTGCCCATTGTTCTGTGACCTCCCCAGTGGGAGGAAGAAACTCATGACACAAAGTATCCCACACCAGGTAGAAAACTTTGGAGAGTATAAATAATAAATAACTGCTACTTCCCTTGATTCAGACTCCTTTGTGTTCTTAGGTATGCAGCCCTAGAGCAGATATACACACCACTGATTGCAGCAGAGTAAGAAGGGCCACTGATCAGAGGTAGAGCTTTGCTTGCAAAAGGTCCCACGTCCATCCCTCAACATTTCCATATGCAGCATGTCTGGACTGCAGGAAGTACTGAGCTTGATTTATCAAGGTCTGATTTTGTATAAGGCAGTTGGCAACTTGCAGTGTTCCTAGTACATGGGCCCAGTTCAGAGATGGGTCTTGTATCCAGATCATGCCCCTCTACTGAATTGAATGAGGAAACTTTTATGGGTGAGAGACTTCTGTGAGAGCATCAGCGCTTCCACGCCCAGAAGCAATCTCTGGATAGAAGTATCTGATTTGGGGGGCTACAAAGGATTCCAGATGGGAAGGAATAGGGAATGCATAATCGTCAGTAGTTCTGACTGTGCTTTTAAGGCATTTTACTTGCCATGCAGTTCCACTTCTGCATACAGCTGGCACACTGAGAATTGCTCTTGAATCAGAACATTTGACAACTACTAGTAGAGTGGAAGAATTCTTTCTTTAAAAAACTACTCTCTCATATACAGTTCATAACTGAATTTTAAAGAAGATAATATAACTGACATAAAGTAAACATTTGTGAATAGAAAAGTACAAGTGGAACCTGTAAGAAACTATTGCCTTGTAGAAAATGCCTTTTTGGGCATCCAGCCAACTAGGTGTGCCCACTTGCTGAAATTCCCACTCCACCACCGCTGAGAAAGGGGCTGAACACAAAGGAGAAGCCACCCAAGAGCATTCCCAGCCCTTACTAGGCTGTTTGGAAGGAGGGGTGCCCTCTTGTAGGGTTTTTCTAAAGGACTTTTTGTGGGGTGGGTGTTACTTTTGCAAACCTTAGATTTCCTTGCTCCCTGTTGTGACTGGGTGGTGACATTTTGGTTATATAAGGACAGGCGCTTAGAGATTTGAGTTTGCTATTAGGGTTTATATTCTAATAGGGCTGTACAGTCTGTTCCTCCCTCCCTAATCCATTCCAGACTTTCTTTGTATTTTCCAGCCCAACCCTATAATCATGAAAAAAGACTTACAATTGCAAACATTTAAATATTTCAGCTATTAACATTAAACTGCAGTGTTTTTGTAGATTTTTTGGTAAGTATATTTTTTCCAAGTTCATAAATTTTCCCTTGCCCTTATTGTTTTTCTTCTGTTCTTTCTACAGAGGATCCTCAGTTGAGTTACTCTGTAAACTAACTTTGTTGTTAAAATACTAAGCACTTTAGTTTCTTTCAAACAAATATTTCTAGTTTTCATGGTTGTAATTAAATCCCACATTTTATCATATTGTATCATATCATATTTTAATTATTGTTAATCAATCCAATATAAAATTAGAAGAAATGTGTGAATCATAGAGGTAATGATGCAAGTAAACCAGGGCTTGATGAACCTCAGTCAGGAGGGCATGTTGCAAACTTGCTTCTAACTATATCACATTCAGCTGTGCTACTTGAAAATGGGAGGAAAACAGTTGTTTTATACCCATCCCAGCCCTTTAGAGTTTTAAAGATTGACCCCCCACAAATTCATTTATTTATTTGTTAATATCATTTCATATTATAAACCACCCAGAGAGCTTTGGCTATTGGATGCTATAGAAGTGAAATGAATAAATAAATAAACATATAGTTAAACAATGTAATTTGCTGCCATGGCAAGTGTTGATGGCCGACAATCTGGATGGCGTTAAAAAGGGACTGGACAGACTCATGAGGGAGGCAGCTATCAGTGGCTACTAGTCTTGCTGGCTGTGCGCTGTCTTCTTTACCAGAGGTGGCATGTCTGCATGCGCCAGTTGCTCAGGAACTGGGGCAGGAGGAGGTATTGTATCAATCTTGATCAAGAGAACCTGTGGACAGCTGGTTTGCCACTGTGTGTACAGAGTGCTGGATGGATCTTTGGTCTGATGGCTTTTCTTATGTTCTTAATAATAACTTTAAAAATTCTTAGCAGTTCAGAAACAAGCAAGCAAGCAAACAGGTGACCAGTGCAAATCGAACAAAACGAGAAGGATATCTTCCGAACATCAACCTCATCTTTCCCTATCCTTGTGCTCTCTAGACATATTTGAACTACAGTTGCCAGCAAGCCGTACCTTAGGCCATGCTTGATGAGGATGATGGGAGTTGAAGTCCAAAGCATCTAGAGGAAGGCTAATCAAATCCCAGTCAAGTACATGACAGCAGCATTTTGCATCAGTTAAATTCCCTGGTTTTCAAGGGCAGCCCCATGTAGAGCAGGTTACAGCAGTTCAGTATTACAGTAACTGGAGTATGAATGACTTGGTGACTTCCAACTTTTTTTAAAAAGTGTATTAGAAGCAAATGTGTCATGATCTCCATTCTCCATTGTTTGAAGCCCAGTTTATACTTTGAAGGGTCATAATAGGGTTTTGACCATTTAATGTTTGAAATATGAAAATGTAGGAAGTTTTGATGAGTGAGTTGAAGATAGATGACTCATGTAGAGTTACTGTCATAGGTGCTGGAAAAATGTGCAGCTTCTTTAAGTAGAATATCAACCATTTGAGGAGGCTGTGCTGCTACACTTAAATGGAATGCAGCTTTTAAATGCAAAATACTGCATTCAATGCGCTGTCAATATCTCTGCATTTGTTGCTTAAAGTTGTTGATGTTCCTTCATCTGCCCCTTCAGGCATCAGATGCTCCTGTGCATAGTTTAATAATAATGCTAATTTAAGCAGCTACTGAGTGGTGCATGCCAAATTTCTTTCCAGAGACTTCCTAGATGGGGCTGCTGTTATGGGAGGCTGGCTCTTAGCATCCCCAAAGGCAGCACTCGCCTGCCATTTTAATTTCAGATCAGAAAAGGGAAAAAATTATAGAGGAAGCGTTACAGATCAACAAGCAATGCTTAGATACACATCATACTAATGCACATTTTATGCAAATTGTGTTTCTTATGCATATACAAATATGTGAATTTGTTGCAACCTTTCCATTTCCAACAAGCTCTAGTTGCTAAACAAATTGCCCAGGCCAGCTGTAAACTATAATTTAACCAGATTACTACAAACTTAACTGTATAGCCATGTGTAGTTCTTGCATTTCTCCCCAAAAAAATCAGATTCCCAGTTGTGCATGAATATAAAACTTTGATCATAACAAGCTATACAAAGACGGTATACAGCCCAAATCTGTTCAGGTTTACTTAGAAATAGGCCCTACTTTGTTCAATGGGATATACTCTCAGGTAATTGCATAGATTTTCAGCTGAATATTTATGTGTGTTTACTGTTCTTGTTCACCAAGTATAAGGTTTAAAAATTAAAATCCTTATTCTTTCTGAAAGGATGTCTCATTTGAAGAACGTAGAAAAATAAAAAAAATCTTAGAATTCGGAATTCTTGAGAAAAAACTGGAGTCTTGATTAAGCATGGAGTGCAGGTTTTTGTTTGAGACTTGTGTAAAGACAGGGTGAGGAAGTCATGATGTTACAGAAAAGTACAGTGATGCTTACAATGAGAATTACACAACTGATAAAGAAGATTCTTATCCTTACCTCCTTCTGATCCCTTGAACTGTATAGCAAAAATATTCAAGTATTTTTCTTGTTCATAGTGCAGATTGCTCTTTTTTCAGAAAGGGGAACCCAGATCCTTGAATAATCTATGAATTTCTGAATAGTCTGTGTACATATCAAGTTAGGGTATTAGGTGCATAGAGAATGCTGCCACAAAGTTATCCCAAACTGTATTTTGTGGTAGCTCAGCGTCTGTGCTGGGCACTGTGTGACGATGCATGCAGATATGTAAAATGGTTATGTATGCAGATATGTAAAATGCAGATATGTAAAATGGCTACAGAAAGCAACCTGATTCAGCAGTGTATGTGCATATTCGAACCCACCCTTAGGGAGGAGGAATTCAAGCAAGGAAGGAGAAGACTATGGAATTCTCTTTGAAGAGGGATAATAGCATGATACCTGCACTGTTAGTCTGTGTGAACATTAGAGCAGCAGTGTGTGTCTTTCTTCCCAGAGTGCCCCTGTTTCACAATGTACAGTTACTTGTAGTGAAGATTTTCCCACCTCAAGAAGAATGATAAGATTTTCCCACATTGAACACAAAGCTTGGCAGCAACCCTCTCTGACCTAGTGACCTGCAGATGTGCTAGACTACAATTCCCAGCATGATCCAGTTGACATAGCATGCTGGGAGTTGTAGTTCAAAACATCTGCAACGCATCAAGTTGGGGAAGGTTGCTCTGAAGGAATGATTATCAAAACATGAGTGAGCAATGCATAATTACAGGTGCTCATGTTAAAGCATTGATTTCTAGACCTTCAGTGTCTGTATAAATTGAGTATAACGCCTTTTGGTCATCTCCCCTTTCTTTCTGCCAGGCAGCCGAGAGACTGCATTCACCTATGCCATCAGTGCTGCAGGGGTGGTTAATGCCATCAGCCGTGCTTGCCGTGAAGGGGAGCTCTCCACCTGCGGCTGCAGCCGGACAGCCCGTCCAAAGGACCTGCCTCGAGACTGGCTGTGGGGTGGATGTGGGGACAACGTGGAATATGGCTACCGGTTTGCAAAGGAGTTTGTGGATGCCAGGGAGAGAGAGAGGAACTATGCCAAGGGATCCGAGGAGCAGGCCCGCACACTCATGAATCTCCAGAACAACGAGGCGGGTCGCAGGGTAAGATCATTATTCCTATGTTCTTTTTTCTCTGGGAAGTGATCATGGGTGCCCACCTTCGATGAGCCAGACACACCATGGAAATGCTGACAGTGTTATGCCCATTCTCACAAAATGGTTGCCATGGAGGGTGCTTCCCAGTTCGTAAAGTAGTGGCCATGGCAGCAATGGCGGGTTGCAAAACATTTTCTAGAAGCCAAAAGACAAATAAGTTGCCCAAGAATCTAAGTAAAAGAAAAAAGTGAGATCCAAGCTCCAAAGCCCAAAACCACTCTGTTGGACTCAGTAAAGACGGTGCTGTAGGGCAGCCCTTTCCATTGCAGTATGTCAGGCTTTCAGCATAATAATGCAAGAATCTTTAGAAATAAAATAGGAATCAGGAAAGGTGGGGAGCCTGACCACACCAAGAGAGACATCTGTAGGCACACTGCTGTTTCTAGGCTCTATGTTGGAGATCCCAGGTGTAAACTAAAACCAGTGCACGGCCATAACAATAAGGAGGATGATTTAAGATCAACCTTTTATTTTATCCTAATAAATATAATTACACTAAACAAGAGCTCAGAGTTCAGGGTTTAATTCATGTTTATTTTAGTGGGATTAAAGCCTACCAAATGCTCTTCAAGTTGCATCCATTACTTTTTCCATTCCTTGGAAAATTCAGCTTCTCTAACAAAGGAAAAGACAAAATGCATGTATGAACGCATTCTGCACTTACAGTTGATTTGCTGCTTTTCTTGCCTTCTTCATGCCTTTTCTTGGCATGAAGAAGAAAGTGTAACCTGTTGAATTTCTGTTGGATCAGAACACCTGCACACAGGTGAAAGAAAGCCAGTGTGGCATAGTACTCTGAGTATTGGACTGGGGACCTGGGAAATCCAGAAGTGCTCACTGTCTCTCAGTCCCACCTACCTCACAGTGGAGGAAAGTTATTTATTTATGTAAAACATTTATATCCTGACAGGGGCTCAGGATGGCCACCTTGGGTTCCTTGCAAGAGGTAAACAGGCAGGATATAAATGCACTGTGATGACGATGATGAGTGGGTAATGTAACATATGAATCAACCCAGAAGTCTGTTGAATGGATGTGTGCATCTTTGATGCACATATGCTTGGTTTCTGCTTCCTTAGGGGGTTTCACATTGGCTTTGAGGTGGGAATAATAGTAAGAGACTGTGTGGGAAAATTTATACACAGCTCCTTTCCATTCCCCCACCCCTCATGCAATAATCACGCAGCTGTTGCTTTAGAGGCTGCAGACATCTTTTGTTAAAGAAGTTTTTCTATTGCAGGGAAACAGAATTCTCCCAGTGCATATTTATTTTGCTGAGTATATGGGCAGAATCCAACAATGTCATTGTTCAAATGCAAATTATGTGGCACAAGCAAATAGTGTAGCACCAATAGCACTTTTAGTTGGCATGATGGATTCCCTCACCCTGGCTTGCATGTTAATCAAAACAGTGAGTGCTACATGGAATGTGGTTTTACAGATAATACATGGAGATACTAATCTGATGCTTTACATTGAGATGGGTGATTGGTCCATCTGAATCTGTGCTGCCTACTGTGACTGGCAGCAGTTCTCCAAGGTCTGAGGCTGGGACGAGTGGCATGACAGGACATGGTAATCTCAGTGGGACAGTTTATCCATTGTAATGTCTATTTTGAGCATTGTAGGAGCTATCCACAATGTCAAAATCCATCCTCAAAGTAGCTTCGCTACCATGGAGCACAGATTAAAAGCTGCAATGGATAATGGGTCCCACCAACATAGGAATCGCCAGCCTCCTCTAAATGATCCTGCAAGCTCCTGCATTGCTCTCTATCTCAGCAAGCAGCACAACTGCCAGGCACGTGCCTTTTGCTCTCAGAGGGGATACTTTCAGTCAGAGTTGCCACAGATTGAATCAGGGGCCTTCTGCAGCCTCAGAGCATGAGCAAAAGCTTTTCTCTTTTCATCATCACCAGCACTCGCTGCTTGACCATTATATGGTAGCTTGACACCACTGGTGACAAGGGGCACAGCTGCTGGGGCCTTTCTTACCTGTTCCTTTTATTTAGTTGTCTCCTTAAACAATTTAGAAGTTGCCTGCTTACCTGTGCTACAGAGGGAGATATGTGTTCTGCATCCCTGTGTTGGTGCATTAGTGGATTTGCCTTCCTTGAGTCCCTCTGGTTTGGGGACTAGGGTTTGCAGCCTTCCTTGGTTCCTAAATGGCATTTTGCATGCAGGGGAGATTTCCCTTCCCCCATTCTTGGTGTCCTGGCCGCCTGAGTGATGGACAGGGAATTCTGTCCCACTTTGGTTCTCAGGAAGAACTATCAATGGGTGGGAACAGGACTGTGTTTGCTTCAGTTTTAGACACGGTCCTGACCCCATCACTGCTCCACTGCACTCTCCGATTTTCAGGGCCGCGACATTTAACTTTATTGCCCCTGTTTGTTTGTCTTTGATGGCTATCTCAGCTTGCCCTTTCCTTCCATCTGTCTCTTTCTCCACTTGGTCTCCATTTTCCCTTCTTTCCCACCACCCTGTACCTTATCTGTCCCCTGGCTCTTGGGCTAAGGCTACCCTGCTACATTGTTTACCCGTTCAGTATGCAGCAGGCCTCTATCATCAGTCACTCCATCCAGTGCCAAGCAAGGCTGAAAGGGGGCTTGCTTAATTACCCACCTTGGAATTCTCCATTATTTCCCTTTATATTACACACTTCTTACATGGGGAGAACAAGAGAGGAGTTTCAAGTGGATAGGAAGACAGGCAGATTTTAAACACATTCCACAATTAAACACTTGCCAAGATTTTAAACCCTCTGCAGGGTCAATTTTCCAGTGGCAGATGTCTTAGCCTCCTCTGGAGTCTCTCACCCTACTCCATAGCTGAGCCAAATGTCCTGGCGCATGGCTATTCCCAATTCACATGGGAGATATAGGAGGACTCTATTTGGTTGTTGATACACTGCTATCCCTTTTAGTATAGGCATACTGAGTTGTACACTTGCACATATGACTTGGATGTAAGCCTATTGATTGCACTTGGACTGGGATCCGAGTAATAAATTTAGCAGCATGGCTGAATTCCAGTATAGTTATAAATAACAATGGTGAGCTGGGAAGCAGAGCTACCTCTCTGCTCTGAGGTGCCATGCCAAATTTAGTCCATAAGCAAGATTTCAGTCATAGATGCTGCCAAGCAACTCTTGGAGCAAGGCTAATTCAGTCTGAAGCTCATTGAATCATAGGGTCCTGTTAGCTAGGACAGGACTAATGTCCTCTTACTCTTAGAATGGTGTCTCTTGACCCTGCTTTATGTCTGACTGGGGCAAACCCTCATTCACGAAGACGATCTGACCCCATCGTACCTAGTTTGGCCTCTAGAACCTCATTGTCAGCCTTCCCCAAGGGGCCTTCTATGAGTGGTAGGTCAATATCTGGAGGGTACCAGTTTGGGGAAGGCTGGCCTATGTCATCAGGGTCTGCCTCAGAAAAATCCATAATGGAGAACAACCAGTCGATGTTAAAGCTTACTCACTTTGTGACTGAAATTCATCTATTCAAAGTTCTCATCCAGAGTATACAGACATGCAGTGTACTCTCACACAGTCTTTATATACAGCAGACTTTATTCTGTATGTGTATTCCACCAGTGGCCTATACACTTGCATTTTTATAGATCACAATGTAGAAGCTAGAATTCATCTCACTTACCTTTTAGTTATGGTTTTCATTGGGTGCTTAGATACCCATCTGCTCTTTGGGTATTCTCTAAGCACCATATGGTTGGGATACATACAACTGCTTCGCTGACTGAGAGGTAATTCTTAACTTCTCTTATGTCCAGCTCAGTGGACTAATGGGTTAATGATATGCTGGATCTTAACATAAAAGGGAAAAAAAATGCCTTTAATCAATGGGGCACGCCAGAGATTTTTCCACCCATATGGCAAGACTTTTGTGCTTGCTCAAGCAATAAGGACCAGATTAGTCTATATTCCTGTGAGATGGATCTCCTTCTCCACCAACTCCTCATCCTCCCCTATTTCCGTTACAGGTCTTTTCTTTGCACTTCAGTTATTTTTTCATTTAAAAAAAGTGGAAACTTAACATTATGTTTATCAATCTAGTGCAGATGAGAGTTGTTGCTTAGAATGGGTGAGGATTGGTGGGATTATCGTTTAATTTGTTCATATGAAAATGAACAAGGGGGTTTTCTTCACTTCCTAGTTTAAAAAAAAAGTCAGTCAAGCTTCCCATGCCTTGATTAAAGAAAGGAGGTGCTGGGGCTCAAGCCTCTGTGCAAGAGTAAAAGCCCCATCACCCTTATCTTAAATGAGTACCAGCTGTTTGTTGTTATGCTATACTGAGGGAGTGGCACTCTGCCTATGCTTAAAGACACTAAATCAATAATCAATCCAAGTATATCTCATGTTTTTTATTAAAAGAAAAAACAAAGGCTGCTTAATTAAAAACAAACTATAAAAACAAAAAATCTAAATGAAGGCAATATCTGTTCTTACCCTGCTGCAGCAGTAAGAAACAGAACCCATGATCATGATCAGACTCCTATAGTTTGAGAATCTCTCTGAAAAAGATAATAGAATCAGAATGGCTGATGCATCTTAACCATGCAGTAAAATGAGAACAGTGATGGAGACAGGCAAGCTTCCCTTAAGGATATCATTCAGGAGTAAAGGTGCCACAACTGAAAAGCCCCTGTCTTAAGGGTTCATGTCTGCCAAACCTAAGGCAGGAGGACCTAGATATTTATTTGTTATAGTTTTAATTGATTCAATATCCAAAATTTTCTAAGCAGAGTTACTTGAGTGTACATGAGCTTATACCAGAGGAGAAAATCTTTAAGGTATCTTAGTTCTAAGCTGCTGAAGGCTTTAAAAGTGAGGACCAGTATCTTGAAATTTGTTTGCAAATGAATATTATCATGATATTATTTCTACTCTGACACTTCAAAAAAGGTCTCGTGGCAAAGTCATGGGGAGCTCTTGCTCAAATAATGCTCTGAATTTTAAAAAGCAGGAGAAAATACAATTAGTTTTCCTGGCTCTATTGTAGCTACAGAGCTGAAGAACAAAAAATTCGGAAATACAGCAGAATATTTACTGTTAAAAGAAAAAAAATGTTCCAATGCTTTCTTAAAGCCATGAGGCTAATTTTTTTGGATCTTTCCTTATTCCTAGGCCTGCAGAGCCAGAATGCCTCTCCATTTTGTGGTGCTCCTCTTTTGCATGTAGATTATTGCTTCTAACCCACCCACACCCATGCTGGACAGGGTCCCAAATGCTTTATTTGCACCATACACCTATCATTTCAAATGGCTTTGAAGACTGTTCTCATTATCACAATTGTGTTCATGATGGACTTAAGCCACACATCACACCATCATTAAATGGAGCAGACCATAACTCTGCCAGAGAAAGAGATTGTTTCAGGATGTCTGTGCATATAGCCAAGTCAATTCTCCTCTTTCCTGAGGTGGATTTAAAAAGGCCCATGGCATTTGCTTCCATTTGGATTGATGTCAGTTTCTTACAGATTCAGAATTGAAACAGGTTTTTCAAAAGATGCATGCCCATCTTGGTAGACTTTCTTAAGCAGTTAGCGCCCAGCAACTTATCACAAATCTCTCATCTCTAATTGAAACTTCATCTTATACTAGGCAAATGAGTTGAATTGTGTAGTTTTTATGTTAGAATTGTGCAATGAGGGTACTAATTATGTGTGGTTCCGTTGTAATCATTGGAAGTGCTGCAGCACACAAATACATCTACAGAATATACCAGCACACAGACAAATGCACACACACATACTTCTTGCTTTTCTTTCATGCTGGAGCTCAAGGTGATATATGTAGGACTACCAGGGGGTTCCCACTTAGGCACTGAACTAATCTTGCTTAACTTTAGTAAGATTGCTATGCAATGTGCCATTAGACTATTAGTCTGGCTCCTCCTGCTTCCTCTGTTAAGAGTCTCTTTCAGCCTAAGGGCTGCATCCAATTTTGGAAAAACTCTTGGGGCAACTTTTCAATGATGGACAGGGCCTGGTTGGAAGCAAAACTGCCATCCTGTTTTCGGTATACAGTGCAATCCAATGTGCCCGTCTATAATGCTCTAAATTCAGAGGATTACAGGCATCCTCTAGAAGGTGAAAGGACTATAGAGGCAAAGGTTGATTTTGGTTGTCTAAGTTTTTTGCCCTGGGACACAAAAAGAGATTCTGAGCTGCCATCAGGATACTGTGTATGTTGATGGAGCTCGGCTCCCTCCCTCCTTCCCTGCCCCAAGATGCTACCTCCAAGGCCATTCTTGTCTAGTGGACAGCTGGGCAGTGTCTAGCAGCCATAGGGCTGCATGCTAAAGCATTTGCTGTTAATAGCTAAATTTTGGGAGAGGCCTTTCACACTTTTAGAATGGGGGGAAAAGCTTCGTTAACACTTACCCTGAACACTCAGAGGTTGGGGGAAAGGGGATAAGGCCAATGTGAGGTGTTGGTGAGGTGATCTGAGTTTCTGCACCCCTGCTTTAATTTTTATAATTTGTGGCAAATTCTCACAGTCTGGATGCTTCCTTGCCTAATTACTTAGTGGCATTTTTAACTTACCGTAGAAGATCAAGAAAGCAGCTATTTTCAAGCTGTGTGTAATTATCACTGCCATGCATGGGAATGTATTTAATATGAGAAACCTTTCAGGCTAGATCAATTTGTTTTCCCTTTATAGATGTTGAATAATTTATTTATTCTTAGGATGACTTCATATGTACAAAATCTCTCAGGATCATTCCACACATTATGTAGCAACAAACCTGGGCTTGCTTTGAATGCAAATTTGACAGGGACCTGCAGCCAATTCTGGATCTTTGACCTGTCTAATGCATATGTTTCCAAACTTAAAGTTGTTCCATGCAGAGATTACATCTATAGGCACATGTTGTTCTTAACTTACATGAAACATGTAATATATGAATGAGAAATACAGAGAAATAAGTACCTTCCTTGTTTAGAGTATTTGCACCAAAGCCCACATTTTAAAGGCTTTAATTTTGGGCTTCCAGCTTGCAATGCCTAGTTTTAAAAGTCTAAGGATGTTGATTAAAACTTATTTTGAAATAATTAAAAAGAAGATTCAGTCAACATACTTGGACGTCTATCTAGAACAGCCTGTGTGGCATGTTCTGGACACTTAAAAATTCTATTCTTCACCAGACTTTCAAGGCTGAACAAAGTAATAATGGGAAAAGGAGAGTAGACAAGTGATTGACCACCAGGTGGCAAACAGGAGGCAAATGGCTGCTGTATCCATGTGCTTGTTGATGAAGGAAGGACCTGTGCAACAATCCTGATTCTCACATTTCAGCCCCTGAGATTCCATTTCATGAGGCCCAGAATGGAGCCAACTCACTCTTGTGCAAGTCACTCTGGCTCATGGACTTCCATCTTTAAGACAGGGTGTGGGTCATGCATTTTTAAATGATAAGCAAGTGTTTTGAGCTAATTAGAAGCCAAACTAGGGTGTTTTACACAAGAAGGCAATTTGACTAGAGGGTGTTAACTTATACAATGGCCATATAAATATACTGAAATAAATACAGAACACCTACCTCACAGAGTTGTTGTGGAGATTACTGAGTGGAGAGCCATATCCTCAACTTAGAGGAAGCGTGGACTAGCATATAAAGAAAATCATTTTATTTTAAAAACTGCAGGGAAGGGATTTAGACTGCAAATCCTGTGCCCATTCACCCATTAAACACAAGGGGGCATTCTTCTGATTAAACAATGTATAAGAGTAGTTGTTTTTCAGTTATGGTGTGCCTGATGTTGATGCTGATGAAACTTAATTGATTCCATCTTTACCTTTGCCTTTCATAGGCTGTGTACAAGCTGGCTGACGTTGCCTGTAAGTGTCATGGGGTCTCGGGTTCCTGCAGCCTCAAGACCTGTTGGTTGCAGCTGGCAGACTTCCGCAAAGTGGGTGACTTTCTCAAAGAGAAGTACGACAGTGCTGCTGCCATGAGAATCAACCGCAAGGGTAAGCTGGAGCTGGTGAACAATCGCTTTAATTCACCTACTCCAGAGGACCTGGTCTACATTGATCCCAGCCCTGACTACTGTCTGCGCAATGAAACCACAGGCTCACTGGGTACCCAGGGCCGGCTCTGCAATAAGACCTCAGAAGGCATGGACGGCTGTGAGCTGATGTGCTGCGGCCGGGGCTACGACCAGTTCAAGAGTGTGCAAGTGGAACGTTGCCACTGCAAATTTCACTGGTGCTGTTATGTCAAGTGTAAAAAGTGCACAGAGATTGTTGATCAGTATGTGTGTAAATGAGAAGCTCACAAAAGCTAGAAATCTATATTATATAAATCTATATAAATATATTTTATATATTTGTATAAATAAATAGACGGTGATGTTGATGATGATGATGATGATAATTAAAGAAGCTTATTTAAGAGACTTGGGGAGGGTCAGAAGTATTCGCATTAGAGCAGCTGGCTGATTGGGTGGCTTCTTTTTTAATTATTTAAGTGGGGAGCACAAAAAGTGAGGGGTGGAATTGTGTATGGGCTCCCTTGGCACAGTTCAGCCAGGATAAAAGGGAAACGTAAGGTCAGTGGTGAAAGGAATCTGCCTACAGTTTTTGTATTGCAAGAGTACAAGGATGGGAGGTGTTCCCTCTGCTACCTTAAGGCTGAAATTCACATTGGGTGTTTAGAGCCGAGGAAAGTGCCTTGGATGGATTTCCAAAAGAACTTGGTTTCATTTTCTGCTTCTTGTCAAACATGCTGCGGGATACCAAACCACCGCAAGGGAAATCGCCTGTCTGTAATGTTGAAAAATTGCAGTGTTCCATGCAGTTGATGTGTGGATTGAAGAGAGACTGTTTCATGATGGCAGATGGTTCCCCTGGCTCAAGTGGGTGAAGGAAAACATTACCTTTGACCTAGAAGTGCTGCTTGACCCTTCTATCCTGATGGAAGCCCAGCATCTGGTTCTTCTGCATTTTGCAGAATGTACAAGGCAGTGGGGGTGGGGGAAGGACAGATTCTACCAAAGCTCTGAAAAGGCAAAGTGGTCAAAAGTGAAATTCTTTTTTTTCCTGCCAGTTGGTCTTTATGTTCCTTGTGAAAGAGAAACTGGCTACTTGTCTCTTGGGCTTCCATGGATTGTTTAGGGAAGGAGACCATGTTCTGTGCCAGTGTCTCTGGACTCCAGAGACACACAAACACACCCCAGACTAAGTAACAGCAACAAAAATCATGATGCCTCAGCCTCTACATGGACTTGGACTTGGATGCTCATGTGTCCCACTCCTTTTCATCCTCCTTGCCCCTGTCATAGATGTACACTTTCTTTTAAACATTAAATATCCCTTGTTCTCACCCTTGCCCTGGTTTTTGTGAGCACATTTGTCTTTTGTCACTGCTACTAATGTACTTCACAGCACAGGAACTTTCTGCCAAGTTGGATTCCTTCCTGGTATAAAACTTATGGCAGTTAAACCTGATTCTCATGTTGCTTTTTGACATGGTAAAATCACCAAGATGTTTTGTGGGGGTTTTTTAAACATCAGCATTGCTTGAAGACGTTTTGATTTATATAGTGCTTCACATGGTGAGATTTGGTTTTCACCATCCCGAGTTAAGTTTATAATGGTGAAGGCACGGGCCAGTGACATACTCGTCACATAACATTACCGTATTGAATCCTCCTTCTGCGATTTAGACCTCAGTGGAGCAGAGGGATTCATTTACACATATTTAACCTTTTAAAATTTAAAAGGTGGATTTAACCTTTTAAAAGCTAAACAACAGTCAAAACACACAACCTATTTCAAAGGTGGCCGCTGAAATGGCTCAGCAGGGGAAGCAACTGGTTACCACTGCAGGGTAAGGAGGACAGTTCTGTACCAGGAATGGATAACTGGCTGGTATTGACTAAGGTCACATTCCCCAGCCTGGTGCTCTTCAGATATTTTGGACCAGCTCCTTCTACTTGCGGCCAGCCAATATAGAAATGCTAGGAGTTGTAGTCTACAAGATCTAGAAGACACTAGGTAAAAGAAGGCTGGACTAAGCTGCCTACTGCTTCCACTTCTGCCTCCTTGCTACTACCAGTAATGGCAGGAATTCCATTTTTTCAATCATTTCAACAATTGACAATTTGTACCAAAGAAAACCACCACAAACCTATTTCGTGCCCCCTAGACTTATAAACAGCAGGCTTGGCCACGTGGATTGAATAGTAATGTTAGCATTTGCAGTTGCCCAGGTATATCTGTTTGTGTCAAGCAATATAAATACTTTTCAAAATACAGATCTATTAAATTCCATGAGTTATCTGTTGCTATAAACAGGGCTTGATTTAAATATGCACATCAAAAGGCAAAAAGAAGAATACAGATCATTCCTCAAAGTAATTCTCATTGATTTTGAGACACATTTCTAGGGACCTCAGGGAAAATTGTGGAGTCTTACTCCATCCTGTTCTCAGACTGACAAACTCACCAGAAAATTGGATGAAAGGAGAGCAGAGCCAAGGCAGCACCGCATATAAGAAGGAGTTAGAAAACTGGTGCAGAAGGTGAGCAGCTGTGTCGTTCCACCAGAGCAAACAGATTAGTTCCAAGTGGTGACTACAATGGGGATTGTGCCTCCTGCTAAAGAACATTCTCTGTACATAGTGAATTAGCAGGTTGGGTGAAGACTAGGTTGGATTTCTTCTCCTTAACATGTAGTTTTCTATGTGCACAGATTTATGATGATGCTACTTTTGGTATAGGGAGTATCCTAATCATACCAGCTCCAATCTGCATCCCAAAGCAATACAGCCTACACTTAAATTCAAAATATCTACTGTTTGCAACAAACATGCTTGAGCATGGCTAAAGAAAAGCTGTATTTCTTACGTAAGTAGTATGATTTCTACATGTGATTTGTCAACTTGGCAAACATATATACACCCATTTGCAAGAATTTTGAAATTGCCACTGTCACATAAGTGGAGGGGGGAAGAAATAGATATGTGCATTTGTCACACATGACAGATTACATGTAGGATTCATTCAACTTCCTAAAAGGAAGCATCTTGGGAATGGACTAGACCTCAGTGATATCTGCCTTGCATCCAGAAGATCCTTGATTACTGGCATCACCAGTGAAAAAAGCAGGGGAGGGCATGAATCAGGTTATAGGAAAGACCTCTCTGCAGCAGACCATGGAGAGCTGGGCCAAATCAGAGTGGACAGTAGGGCAGCTTCCATGTTGGAAATTTTATCACGTATTTTATGAAGTCCTGATGCTACCCTCAAGCTCAACCAGAATTCTTTTTCTTCATCAATTAAGCACTCATTAGCAAATAAATGTATCAATCTGACTTCTAATAATCACTCCTGGGATACATGGTCATAAACTATTATTATTTTCTTCACTTTCGTGTTAATGAATTACAGTTGGAAAATACTTTTTCAGTACCCAGAGGCCCAGGGATCACGTGCAGTTAGCCAATAATGAGAAGGCACAGCCAAAACTGGAAATGTTTACTGACAGTATTCTTATTTGAAACACTTCCTTTATTAAACTAATAACATCCATATGACTTTATTTTAATTGCCAATGTGCAGAAATGAGCAACAGCCCAATAAAATATTGCTGGATTTTTACAAGTTCCACGTATAGCCAAGCATTTTTAGCAATTTCTTACCATTTCTGCATTCAAAGGTATTAGTGATTCCTATCTTATAGATAATGGATTGAAGGTTTCAGAATATGTGAGGAAGAACACAGTAATCTTTTAAAAATACAGTTCCATTCTTTAAAAAAATTGTAGGATTTTAAACAAATTATTAATCCATGCATTTCTTGGCATTGCAGGGAGAAATGTAATGGAATACAGTAAGCGAACTTGATTTATGTTCTTTTACATAAAATCCAAAGCCAGTAGTAGAGTAATTCAAAGCAATGAAAACAGTTTTCCACTCATGGAAAAACTGAAAGGAAAATGGCCTGATCTGCTCCTTGTAAAGCTCCCCAAGAATTGGAATTATCCCCAAATCCCATGAAATTTGTGAACTACACATGCCTGGGATATAGGATAATTTATTCTCAAACTGAAAAATCACTTGTTGGCTTCATTTCCAGATCTCATATTTCACCTTTTTTCTGCAATGACTGCATAATACATGATAATGTGTTAAATTTGAACTCTTTTTAAAAATTACAAATGTTTAATAAACCGGAACTTAAACATTTTTTAGACTGAGGAATAAATATACCTGGACGGTTCCTTGGGAGAAGAAGGCATATTTCTGTTTCAAGCAATATGGAAAACTAGACTATCCTAATGCACATACTTAGCTAGCAATTCAGTTAGGATGGTCATTACCTTCTGAAGTAAGGACAGAATCCTATGGCCTAGGAGGAGCAGAGGTATCCAATGGAGATCATGAGGAGTGCAGAAGTGAGGATTGCTTCAATGTCCCTTCCACCTTCCAAAACATTTAGACTCAATTTGGCTGTCTAACGGTGCAGCCCTATCACCTTTGCAGCTGATGCTCATAAACCTCCAAAACCGGAGTTATGAACATCCATTGTCAGGAACAAGGTGTGGCAGTAGCAACCTGTGACAGAGAGAAGGGAGCTGAGGTGCCAGCTGAAATCTCCATAACTGCAACCTCAGCCTCCTTCCTACAACAGCAGCCCCCTTTTTCCGACTTTGAGGCCCAGGTGTGACCTTGGCAGGGGCACCTGGCATCATCTTCAGAGGAACAGAGTGGGGGCTCAGTCTTCAGAGTTCCAGCTCCAGGAACATAGGAATTCAAAGGTGGGATTCTGAAGCATCCTGTGGTTTCCTAAGTGATGTTGAGAGGTCATAGGACTGCACTATGTGTTTTACATTGGCTCACAAGTACAAGAGCCAAAGACATCACCAGGTTTCCTCATAGGACAGCAATATTTCATTTACCCCATTTCTGCCCACTCTGTGTCCCATCAACATTGGCTCTGAGGTCACTCTTGAGACTCTGAAGCTGTGGCCCATGCAGAAATAATTGTGGCAAGTGCAAGAGTGAAGGGAGGACACTCTAAATTCAAAATCCTAGCTCCAACTTTGGAGCACTTTTCTCAGGTTGTGCTGGAACTCCAGATTATCCTATATCCATCTAAATAGCATCTAATGGCAAGTAAGATGGTGCCCTGTGTTTGTTAATAAAAAGCATGAAAAATATTTTCTGGAAATGGTATTATCTTTTAAAAAGTGTATCTGTTCCAACTGTCTTCCAAATCAAATTGAGTTACTTTTTGCTTCATAACAAGTGTGTGAAACAAAAGACAACAATCTCCTTCCTGCAGCACAGCACGACTCATGATAAACCCATGAACTACAGTGCCTATAGCTCATTGTTTGTTCTAGGGTTATGTGAGAACTGTTTCAGGTTCTTCTATATCCAGCACTTGGGGTTTATTTAATCCTTGCATAATTCATGCTTGCAACCTGACAAGCCTCAAACAAGTTGTATATGCTAAATGGCAGTAACAGTCAACATAGTTGGGTTGTCATGCTATGCAATCTAGCACTGAGTTACTCAGGAACTGGCATCGCTTATAGAAGAGGGATCTGAACCTAGATTTTTCACATCCAGCCCTGGACTCTAGAGACATGGCCTCTTTGTTTAATACCAGTAGTCAACCAGAACATGCAGTTGACGAAACCTCTGTTCCCAGGGCCTATATCCAAAGCAAACAGAGTAGGGACAAAAGTAAGAAGTGAGAGGGAAGGCTTTGATGAATGAATAACAAGGACAGGGGAGGGTGTTGGATGGTTTCACAGGCAGCATACAGTGAATCAGAGGAGATCAGAAAAGACTTTGTTGATGAAAAAGTTTTCTGGAAGGGTCTACAAAAAGGAGGTAGATGGGGCTGGTCCAGAGATAGCCACAAGAATGAAATTACTGTACATCAAAGGGCGTGTGACCTCATGCTTCTCTTTCTATAGGTAAAAAGGTAATTGATCTTAAGTAACTGTGTTTCTTTGACTTTGATCTTCATAATCTCTTCTCTGGTTCTTCCTTTATTCATGATGCATCCCTGTGTTTGTTAAAACATTGCAACAATGGGAAAGGTGCATAAAACCAAAGAAGGCTGCATAACTAAAAGGAACAGGTAACTTCTAAAATGGATGACAGAGAACACTGTGGATTTTAAATTGCACTCATTTAGATACAATTGCACATGGCTGTGAATCAGTTGTTTGAAGACTTATACTACCTTGGCTCAGTGTTATGCGCTAACCACCTTGTTGTGCACGACATTTTCTATAACCATAGGCAGTCTACCTACAGAATACTGTGGGCATTGCTCGTCCATTATTTTTTGCTCCCTTTGCCTTTAAAATTAAATATTTCTTCTTCAACAAGCCACCCACAATCTCTCTACAGTGGCTGCTACCTGGCTTTCCATAAGAAGATCAGAAGAAGAAAGCAAGAGCAACTCCAGTTCACTCAGTAAGTTGTTCTTGGATCTTTGAAGGGTTTCGTTGTCAGTGGTGTGTGTTTATAGTCTGGGATACAAACCATGGAAAGGGAGGCTGGGTGTTTTGCAAAAGGTTTATGCTGGCTTCCTAAGGGATATACTCATTATTTTAGTACATGCAAAGGGATACCTATACCTTTTCCTGAACCAAATTAGCATTTACTTCTTAGAAGATATTCATAATCTGGAATTTAGTACTGTACTACTTCTGAATAGGCCTGCTCTGGAGGATTCATGATGGATGTAGAGAGGCATGGATTTTTGGATGCTTTCAGAACTTGTTCCTGTGTTCCAAAGGTGGTGCTTTGTGTGGGTCTAAGAATACCAGCTCTTATTTTAATTATTATCATCACTGTTTTTATGGCTCTATGGATTCCGTCCTCCCACTTAGAGTAACTTGCTTCGCTATGGAATAGGAGCTGTTGGTAGAACAGGAGGATGTGGGTCCAAAGGAGTTGTTTTGTGTGGCTGTGTGTTTGTGTGGCTGTGTGATTTCCTCACCTATCACCGCATGTTTTGTGCCTTAGTTTTCTCTTTCTGTGGAACTGGTTGCTGAATGCTGGGGATTCAGACTGCTCTTCCCCTCATGACTCTTGGCCCCATCTCTTGTGCTGACTTGGCTCCCGCTCTATTGACCTGCCCTCTGCTTGACCACTTGGACTGATCACCACCTCCCCATGCCTATAATACATTGAGAATAAAGGTATTTGCTTTTATTTTTGAAGTGTTTTATTCTATGTATTCAATTGTTACATTATATTCTAAATTTAAGGCTGCAACCTTATGCAGACTTGCTTGGGAGTAAGACCCATAAAACTCAGTGAGTTTCTTTAGAGTAAACAATAGCCTAGGGCCTAGGCTCAGGCTGCAAAAGACCCCAGAGACAGAATATTTTCTTGTTATTGACAATAACATTACATGATCTGCTCATTTCTCTTCCATCTGACTATGAAAAGGATATTCACCAATGACCTGTATTCAGGGCTGGCTCAAGACCATTTGGTATCCCAAGTGGCTGCTCTGAATTGCAAGATCTGTGAATACCTTTGGAATGCTTCAGATCACGAGTTGCAAAACTTAGATTATTTGCTGCCACATCATTACTCCTAAAAGATATTGCTGCGTGTACTTTCTAAGCAAAAGGTCCCATGTTTAATCCCCAGTATCTCGAAATACTGGTAAGGAAATAATCCTGCCTGAAACCCTGGGGAGACACCTCCAGTTAATGGACCACAGGTCTGATTTAGTATAGGCAGCTTCCTCAGATCCAGTACAACTGTGCCAGCAGCACTACAGCTTAATAAAAGAATATCCTACACATTTAAGACAGAGGTGAGGAAACTTTTTGAGTCCAAGGGCGGAATTCAGTTTAGGAAAAATTCTCAGGGGTTGCACTCCAGTAGAGCGTGAGGCCAAAGGCAAAGTGGGCAGAGTGGCAGAGCATATTATGGCTTTAAGTTCTTAATGCAATAAGTAAGCCATAGGAGAGGCATTTCAAGCTTTCAAAATGGGAAGAAAAAAACTGTACAAAAGCTGGGAAACCACCAAACAATCAGCAGTTGGGAAAAGGACTGGGATCAGGGGAAGAGAGCATGGCCTTCGGGGAAACCCAGTCAGGCTGGATTCAACCCTGGCTCTGAGGTTCTGATTGAAGCCAATGCTATTACAAATCTTTGATCCAACCAATTATAGATTTTGTTGTTATAATGAAATACTTTAAATACCACCTCCTTGGCTAACATATTTTATCCTGCACGCTATGACAGGAACATAGGTGGCTGCCTTGCATTGAGTCAGATCCTTTGTTCATCTAGTCCACCTTTGACAACAGTACCTAGCAATGACTGTGCTCCATTTCTGACACAAATATTTCCTATATCCACCTGCCTGGAGGTGCTAGGGATGATACAAATTGAAGATATTTTTAAAAGCCTAAGGATGTAACATCTAGTAATGATAGAATCTTGAAATAGTCATTCAGTTTCTGATTTAGTGCTTAAAGGTTAAATCCTCCACACAGGTAGAAAAAGAGGACAATAACCCCAGCATGCCCCAAATTGGGACACACTGGGAACTGTAGGCTTTTTCTGTCGAAATGTATATAAGATAGTACTCTAAAAAAAAAAAAAACATTATTTTGCTGGAGAGTGTCAGTTGCCTGGAAAAGTTCTGATTTTCAGCTGGAATTTCACAATCAGTTTGAAGGGGAGTCGCCCCACTGTTATTTGTCTCCTTGAAATTAAGAGAAATAAAGAGGTACCATTTTTATTTATTTATTTAGAAAATGTCTATGCCGCCGCATTTGCCGAAGCCTCGGGGCGGCTCACAAAACATCAATTAAAATATAATACATTAAAAATATAAAATGAATTAACAATATAAAATAAGTCACCCTGGCCAAAGAATAAAATAAGGAAATAATATTAGCAATTAAAATGACGTTTGAATAAAAAGGTCTTTGCCTGGCGCCGAAAAACAAATAACGACAGCGCCAGGCGGACCTCTCTGGGGAGCGCATTCCATAGATTGGGCGCCACCGCAGAGAAAGCCCTCCTCCGAGTACCCACCCTCCTAATTTCCTTCACGGAGGGTTCCCGGAGTAGGGCCTCTCCTGCAGATCTCAGGAGGCAGGCGGGCATATATGGACGTAAGCACTCCTTCAGGTAGCCAGGACCCAAGCCTGGCTATATAAACCAACTGTGATCGGTTTAGATAGCAGTTCTTATATTAAATTTTGTGTTACTATGTAAGGTATGCTGAATCCGATTTTCGAAACAGCTGTGGCTTGCATGACCGAACGGTAGTTGATGACAAAATGATGGCATGTGTTTCTGTGACGGTGCAATTCCAAGCAGGGGTACTCAGTAATAAGTTCCGTTCACTTCATTGGGACTTTCGGGTAACAGCACAATCCAACCCATGTCTACTTAAATTGAATTCCAATGAATTTAATTTTACTCTCCGAAAATGTACTGGCTCCGAGAAACTCCACTGACATTTCTTCCTTTTATTTCGAAACTCCCAAACCGCGCAATCGTTGGTGTATAACCTCCACCCGTCGGCGAGCAGAGTTCGCCTTTAACACACTTGCGTAAGGAACTCAATGCAGCAACTGGCGCTCGGCAACGAGGGGTCAAGGCGCGTCCTACTTTTCCACCAACGGGGTAGTACCCTCTCCTACTAGATCACGCGCCCTTCCCCCTCCGAAAAAATACACTTCCCAGAATGCCTTCAGCCGAATCCGCTCCTCCCTCCTGCGAGCACGTCTCCCTAGCGTGGCAGATGCGTGCGCCTCCTCCAACCGGGCGGTCCCTTATTGGCTCCTGGAGCCTCTTGCGATGATGACGCTCCAGGGCAAAGGGGAGGCGACAGGGGAGCCGCAGGAGGAGTGAAGGCGGCCCCCACGGCGGAAAGAAGGTGGAGGGGGCGGGAATCCCGGAGGCGCCGGCGGCACCGTGGGGACTCCCTGCCTCCGTCCCCCTCAGTGTCGGACACAGCTGGACGGCGGAGCAAGGAAGCGCCTGGTAAGGAGAATAGGCAGCAGCGCGGAGCCCTGGGTTGGGGTTTGAGGTTTGGCCCCTGAGGTGCACGGGCCGGGGGGGGGGGCGGTCCTTGACCGGCTGCCCCGTCGAGTGACCTAGGCCTCTGCGACTGACCCTCCGTGCTCCAGGCTGCTCTGTAGGCCACGGAGGCACTCAGGTGCGCGCCTCTCGGTCTGTTGACCTCGGTTTCCTCCTTTTGGGCTGTTGCTGCTGACCTTGGACAAGTCACTTATTTTCTCCAGGTGTAATGATCAGTACCTTTAAAACTCGCACAGCCCATGAGGGTTTCTTTTAAAATCAGAGTGCTACATTAATTAATTAATACACCTGCATCATTTAGTTATTCGAGCGTATTACATTTTATAATAAAAGAAATGAATAATGGTATTTAAAATCTATACCCACAAAGTCTTATACCCCTTTTAAATAGCTGCTTTGTGGGGCTTTAAGAAAATAAAACGGAAATAATGTCTTAGGGTAGGTTTTAAGAATGTTACAATTTTATTTATTTTATATTTGCATCTGTAGCTTAATATACAATTTCTAAGTAGTTTACACTAAAATATATATGTGGTACAATATAAAGATAATACATAATTATGGGATACATTTTTGTGGGCTGTAGGCTGTCCCTCAGGAGGTTAAACCAGAAAGTTTATAGCAGACTACTATTCCTCATTCCCACCTCCCACTCTAAAGTAATTAATGCTGCAATCCTGAAAAGTCCTTTTCAAAGTAATCTTCATGGGACAGTGGGAATGTATCTGAATGCATGTAGGCAGTAATGGAATAATGTGTACACAAAGTGTAGGTAATTTCTATATACATTGGGATAGTCTTCATTGTGAGCCATCTCTTTCAACAAAGAGTGCTGGAAAGAAACTACTTATTTCTAAAAATACTTCACAGCTGTTAGATGAAGGACTTGGAAGATGGATATGTTAAATTGGTTTCTGGTTGCAATCCTGTATACACTTACTTCTGAGTAAGACCCATTAAATTATGTGGACTTCTGTGTAAACATAGGTGGTTCTCAACTTTTCTTATGATTTTTTGGAGGCCAGCTTAAAAATTTTATCTGCACATGCTACAAGGAATGTCAGTCATTCAGCTGTATGCTAAATGCAACTTAAGTAATAATTCGGGTAATAAATTGAAATGTGTGAGAAGATGTAGATGTGACATGAGAATCATTTTAGTGAATAGAGTGTCCAGAATTGGTCCAAAATTGACCTTGGTTATGGATTTCCTGACTTGCTTTGGGGATGACAGTATCGGCGATGTGGTACCAACTCATATGTCTGTGCTTGGCTTATGGGAGGAATATGCAACATTTATAAATGGCAGCTGCTCCAGTGTATTCCCAAATATATAATGCTACTTTGCTCCAAAATTTAACATGTTAGTGAGTCTAAATACCTCTTCTTTAAGGTTTGCATTTTAGAGATCTTTCTCTGAGAATATGCAAGACTAAAGTTTGGAATATGTGTCACCTTGAGAGAATAAGCCTAACTAAACTGTATAGAACTTAACAAAAGTAAGCATGCATTTCATATTATTCCATCCACTTATAGGTAAGATTGCCGATTCCATGAAATTAATCATTTTAATTGGTAATACAAAGGCTGTGCTAGTGTGGCATTTTAGGAGGCAAAAACTGCATTCCATTGTGTATACCAATTTGGATGTAACTCTACATGGATTAGATAGGATTGTGCTGTAGGTTGCTTATTAAAGCATAAGCTGTACTGGTTATAAGACTAGATGGGATAATTTGTGAAGTGTTTCATACTTGGAATGAGCAGTACACAGGTTTCATAATATTAGTAGTTAATGTATATTGTGCTGTGCCGCAAGGAACTCAAGTCATGTGTATACATAGGAAGGGGACTCTCTTGCCAAACATTTGCTCATGACACAAGCCAAGTAATTCTCCCAAAGGTTTAACTCTATCTCAGGCCTAATTCCTGCTGAAGTGATACACTTGGCTGTAGCACATACAGAGATTGAATATGCCTCTATTTAAAAATAAAACAAAACCCCAAACACTCACCACTCCAAAGGAAAAGCAGTGTTGCTTGTTTGTTTATTATTTCAATTTATATGCTGTTACAATAGCCCATGCCTGGACTCTCTGTGTGACTTACAACAGTTTACAGAGAGGTTCTATGCATAGCCTTCTCTCTGACATATTAACTTGCTCTACATTTGGCTTGTTTGCCTAAAGGACCATTAAGGCATGAGAGCTCTCACCTGCAGTATGAAATCTTCCTTTTTTTGGGTTACATTTATACCTTTCCTCCAAGGAACCCAAGTTGATGTGTATGATTCTTCTCTCCCTTTTATCTTCACAACTCTGAGGTAGGTTGGGCTGAGAGTCATTGATTCCTGTTGTTACCCACCTAACTTCATGGTATTGTAGTGACCAGAGCCTGGCTCTCTGCAGTCCTCACCACTACACACCACTGGCTCAGCCCAGGCACAGGTTTACAAACTTAGTAAAAAGTAGACAAAACCTTATGCCCTCCAGGTATGTTAGATTACAACTACCAGCAAGTTGGAAAATACAGTCTTAACACATTTGGAGGGTACCAGGTTGCAGGGTATAATTTCCAGGGTACCAGGGAAGCAGTTAGGAAGCACGGAGAGTTGTTGGTGAGGTATTAAGTGCTCTCTGCTTGCCTTCTGCTTCCTTTTAACCTCATTTGAGACGTCACTTCATCATTTGAGGTGATGTCCCATATCAATAATTAAAGAGGGGACAGTTTTGTGTGGGATTTCTTGGGATCTTCCTTTGAAATGTGCACATCTCAATGGTGCCGGTAAGCAATCCCATTTTATGTATGAATGTTCCACCTGAAGTAACCAGAGCAACATTAAACATTATTTTAAAATTATAAAGAATAAATTTATAATAATTTTATTATTTTCAAAAATGCAAAGTTATGTGCAACCAATTCTCCCCAAGCAAAATAAAATAATATGCAGATCTTATGTTATTACAGTAGAAAGAGCGGTCTATTAAAGGCTTGATCAAACAAAAGTTTTTACTGTAACTTTTGTTAAATTTTATCTAGCAGTGACATGCAGCATTGTTCTGGTGGCTTTTTCTTCCTTGGGAAACTTGAATTTTCAGTATCTGTCACTGATGTTTCTTTGAATTGGGTCTTAATTGCACACATGAAGGCCAAACTGTGGGTTGGTTCAGGAAGACTTAGTTTTGCACATTTTGAAGACTTCAGTCATAAGCTAGTCTAGTGGAATCTAGGCCTAGTACTTCAGTTGTATTGCTACAGCACTTTGATACCTAAAGAATAATATGTATGCGAATTGTATACCAGCACACTTACTGAAATAAAATGTCTACGTATTTCAATAAAAGTTTGACTTGTGGGTGTAAGATTGCATGTGACTCTGTTACTAAGCATAATCTCCATGTATGTAATCTTCACATACCTAACAAAGCTGCATAAAGGTGACTTAGCATGTTACACAAAAGTGGTGACTTGAACTATGGGCAAATTGTCTCTTCTAATTTTTAGAGTTGTTCACCTTGCAGACTAATGCACTTCCTCTCTGTGACAAAGGTAACAGTGGCAGTGAACAAGTCTGACTGGTATGCTGCATAGAAAGCTAACACTTATCCTATGTTATAATAATGAGAAAGATAAAAGTGACTTGATTCTGGACTTGGTCTTGGTGGAATGCATTGCAACATATATTTTAACAGGACTATTAGAGCAGCAAAGAGAGTTAATGATTAATATTCTATACCAGTGCCTTTTTCAGGCCCAGGAGGAAGTTTCTTTTCACAGAAGCTGTAGAGGCCACATTCTAGTTGTGGGCAGTGCCAAAGGTGAAGGGATCAGACTCCCCCCCCCCCATTCAAAATATAAGTATATTTCAGCACAAAATATACTTTTAATGCTACTGTATTAGACTTCTGATACAGAAGTGCAATGGATTTGTTTTAGTAGATTTATTCTTGTAGAGTAAAACTAGTTGTTTGCTAAAGCTAAGGGATGTGCTACTTACAGTTGCAAAAGATGGTGGTAGAGTAAATTTGAAAGGAAGGTCCCAGTTTCAAAAAGTATGAGGCAAAGGACTCACTAGATGCCACTAGCCACTAGATGCTGTCCTGATGGGCATAGGATAATTTGGATCCCTAGCCCTAACCTTAAAGAAGTGCTCCAAGGTTGGACCTGAGACTTAAAATTTAGAGTGTTCTGTTTCCCTCTTGATAGCTGGTTTAGTTCTTTCCATGCCAACTGTGGCTCAAGGGTCATAAGACCAGACTTGGAGCTGGCATTAGGGCATTCTGGGGAGTGGGGAGGGGATGGGTGAAGGACCCCAATTCTATGATGAATGTTCATAGAGCTTCCAGTTCCTCTTCCCATCTGCCATTATAAACCATCAGATGGCTGGAATCAACCATATAAACATTTTGGAAGCATCTGTGCACTACATACCCTCTGTTGGATGCCTGTAATCCTCTGACTTTGGAGAGTTCTAGGCAGATAAGTTGGTTGGCACCCTAAACATGTTAAAAGCCTGTGTGGTTTTGCTGTTAGGGGCTGGTGCTTTCTGTGCTGCTAATCAGTCTTACAGTTGCAAGATCAATGATTTAATCTAGTATCTTTTGGCAAGCATTATGGTTTAAATAACAGAATTGCTGAATCAAATGAGTTACAATCATTTGACTTGAAAGGAGAAGGAAGGAAGATTGCTGAGAATTCCTGTGGTTTTGTTCACAGTCTTAGTGCTATAAAAAGTGTTAATTTGTGAACCTCCTGTTTGCTTAGTGGCCTTGTTTGGCAGTAACATCAGTAAGTGTAGCCAGGAAAAGAGACATGTATAGTATATAAACTGCTTACTAGTAGTATTGAAGCCCCATTGGGATAAAGTTTAGAAAGAATACTTCTTGCAACTATATTTAAGTGTTTGCACTCAAATTAGTTTCAGAAGTCATACTCACTCCATTT